TCTCTCTCTCTCTCTCTCTCTCTCTCTCTCTCTCTCTCTCTCTCTCTCTCTCTCTCACACTCACACACACACACACACACACACACACACACACAGTGCTCTCCTTTGCTGCTCAACAGGGACTTGGGTGCCGTGCTTGGATTCGTGCTCATCATTGATCCGTGGATCCGTGTTTCGATTCGTGCTCTGTCCATTGGTGCTCATCGTGTTCTCTCCATCGTGCTCATCGAGGATCCGTGCTTTTCTTTGGAGCACGACCACGTGCTCATCGTGGATCGTGCTTTTCGTCACCTGCTCATCGTGGATCTGTGCTTTTGGTCACGTGCTGAACGTGGATCCGTGCTTTTCGTGCTCATCATCACGGATTCGTGCGGGAACTTTGGTGCATGATAACGTGCTCATTTTCGATCCGTGCTTTTGGTGGTCGGTGCTCATCGTGCTCGGTGCTCATCGTGGATACGTGGTTTTCATGCTCATCGTCGATCCGTGTTTTTCGTGCCATCGTGGATACGTGGTTTTCATGCTCATCGTCGATCCGTGCTTTTCGTGTCATCGTGGATACGTGCTTTTCATGCTCATCGTCGATCCGTGCTTTTCGTGCCATCGTGGATACGTGCTTTTCATGTTCATCGGCGATCCGTGCTTTTCATGCTCATCATTGATCCGTGCTTTTCGTGTTCATCGTTGATACGTGCTTTTCATGTTCATCATTGATCCGTGCTTTTCGTGCTCATCGTTGATACGTGCTTTTCGTTCCGTGCTTTTCATGCTCGGTGACAGCCGTGGATGCGTGCTCATCGTGAATCCATCCTGACGTGCTCATCGTGAATCCATCCACCGGTGATCACCGTGGATGCGAGCTTTTCATGCTCGGTGCTCATCGTGAATCCATCCAGACGTGCTCATCATTGATCCGTGATTTTCATGCTCATCCAGACGTGGTCACCGTGGATGCGTGCTCACCGTGGATGCGTGCTCATTGTGAATCCATCCAGACGTGCTTTTGGTGCTCATCATCGGCCCTCCCTTCTTCCTCCCTTTCTCCTTCCTTCTTCCCTCCGTCGCCTTTGCGCTCCTTCCTCTGGCGGCGTTAAAAAAAAACTTCCTCGGCCCTCTGTCCTCCCTCCCTTCGTGCTACCTTATCTGGGAATGATATAGAGAGTGCATTCCCGGTTTTCTTAGCTTTCTCAAGTTGCGTTAAGGCTTAGCGCCACATTTTTTCGAGCGTGTCGCGCGTGCGGTTGCGCACAGACGCACACAGCGACAGGTGTGGATGGATGGCACATGTGTGTGCGCGCGCGCGCGCGCGCGCGCGAGAGAGAGAGAGAGAGAGAGAGAGAGAGAGGGGTGACTCAGTGTGGTGTGTGTAGGGCTTGGGGAGGAAGAGAGTGAAGTATGGGAAGAAATATCGATACCCTGAAATACCTGGTGCATGGCAGTTGATCATAAGGCGGCTCCAAAGAAAAAAGACCGAGGGAGAATGTTGAGGAGGAAGATCTTGAGGAGGCAGAAGACGTGGTGGTGGAAGAGAGACAAGGGCAAAGAAGACGTGGTGCAAGGAAGGAAGAGCGAGAGGAGGAAATGTGTTAGGTGAAATGCGTTTTTCTCTCTCCTGCTTTCCCTCTCTCCTTCTTGAGCGTGTGCAACGGTGTTGAGATCTTTAAAAGAAATGGAGCGATCTTGATAACAAATGGAGCATTTACGTCCACTGGGTCGGGCGTTACGAAAGGAGGGCCGCCTGTTGAGTGAGGAAGGGGCAGGTAGGGAGTACAACGGAGGGAGGAATGGAAGGAGGTGGTCAGGTGGTGATCAGGCTGAGGAAGGAAGGGGAGGAAGGAGATTGGGGGAAGGAGGGCAGACAGAGATCGGGCGAACGAAGGGGGCTGATGAAGGGGAATGAGGCGGCCAGGCGGACGGAGGCCAGTGGGAGGCTGAAGAGAAAGTGGGGAGGAGGCCAGTGGGAGGTTGAAGAGAAAGTGGGGAGGAGGCCAGTAGGCAGGGGAAAGGCGGCAGAGAGTAGGGCGGAAGCAGGAGTTCAGGTAGAGATCGGGCAAAGGAAGGAAGGGGAGGAAGGAGATTGG